ATTTCCGACCCGGACAATTTTAGGGGTCTACAGTGGTTATGTAATGATGGTTTGTATTTGCCATAATGGGGTTCATTTAATGTGTCGTCAGTTCTGCCCCCTGGCCGACACGTGTCCCAACCATTTTAAAATTTGGGGAAAACCTTTTATTTCTCTGTCTCGTGCCCCTTCCCATTCACTTTACTTTCTTCCTTTCTTTGGCTTCTCGAGTACGATAGTTCTCTTTACCTTCTTGCTTTCGTTCGTCCTCCATCTCCATTTTCACTATTTTCGCCGCCGTTTTCAGTAACCCAGTCATTGTTAGGGTTATTTTCTGAGGAAGAGTACCAGGTACTTCTTTTCTACAGTTTTTTTTTTCCCTCTTCCCCAATCTTCTTCGAGTCTTTCTATTTTTCAATGGTTGGTGGTGGTGCTGGTTCTTCCGCGCCTGCTAGAGGTAGAGGCAAGGCGCGAGGTAAGGCAGTGGATGCCAAGGGGGCTGCCGCCGAAAAGAAAGATCCGCCTTCGTCCAGGGACCTCGTCCCGGGTATCCCTGGCTACGACTGGGTCCGGTGCGAGGTGGGGGAGACCCCAAGCGTCTTTTAGTCATTTGTTGAGGTCAATGCGGACGCATCGTATTTGTGACCCTTCCATTTCCCGGATGATCCGGCTTGAACCTTGTCAGGCCGGTGAGGGTGTGTACATGAGGAGGTCTACTGACCCTCCCCATTTCTATGTCTACCAGTGTTTCTTCAGGGACCTGGGTGTCTGTCTTCTTTTCACTCAGCTTGAGTGTGATTCTTTGAACTTCATCAACTCGGCTCCTTGCCAGTTTCACCCAAATAGTTGGGGTTTTTTGCGGGCTTTTCAAGTCCTTTGTATAGTCCTAGGGATAGAGGTGTCTCTTCGTGTTTTCCTTCACTTTTACCAAATGAAAATAGGCGTTCTGCCTTATGGCATACTATCTCTGAGTGGGAGTAGAGATGGGGGTTTATTCACTCTCTTCTCCCAATCATACAAAAACTTCAAACAAGAGTTTTTCTGGGTCGCTCTTGTGGATGTCGACCCGCTGGAAGATGGGGCCTTTTATTTCGGCGGGCTCGCAAAGTTTCCATTCTATTGGTGCTCCGCCCCGTCTAGGATCCACGGGGTGGGGTCGTTGGAGTTGACGGCTTCGGAGGCGGCTGCCATTGAGAACCTTTCAGCGCTTCCTCGCCCGCTGGATTGCAAGCTCGTCATGTCGCTTGCAAACTCGGCGCACAGGGAGAGGGGCTTAGAGAGTGAGTATTCCGTTTTCCCTAGGTTGTTAGGGTTCGTGTAATTTTCTTTTGCTGATGTGTTTTATTTTCTGTTTGCAGGCATCATGGGGAAGAACAAGTGGCGAGAGCTGAAGCATCGCTACAATGTTGCTGAAATTGAAGTCCCCGAGCCTCAAGAGGAGGAGGTCTCCCCTCTGAAAATAAACAGAAAAAGGAAGAGGGCTGAGAAGGAGGTCGGGGGGACTTCTGCCCCTCCAGATGCCGAGGAGGTGACCTCGGGGGCCGCTGACGCTGATGCGATTGATCTCACTGGGAGTCCTCCGCCGTCCGTGGAGGTCCCTAAAGTGGCTCCTGAGGAGATGGCTCAGGCTGCTGAGCAGGTTGCTCAACCTACCGAGGCGGTGATTACCCTGTCTCTTCGGCTTTTTTTTTCTTTCGTTGTGCTTTTCTGTCTTTTGACATAGGGTTGTCTTCTGTAGGCAAGGGATGCTGCTGAGACAACGACCCAGGCTGCTGGGCAGGCCGCTCAGGTTGTCGAGGTGGTGACTCCGGCCACCAAGCAGGCCACCCACGCTGCTGAGGTAAGTAGTGTACCCCGTGGCTTTCCTTTGTTGTCTTGTTCATCTGTTTTCCTTTTATCTTAAAAGGAAATGTGTTATTTTTGTAGGCGAGCAAGGCCACCGAGGTCTTGGAGACTCCGAGGATGGAGGTGCCAGGTGATAGACTATGGCCAAGGCCAAGGAATCCAAGAGGTGATATCCTAAAAGAACCAAGAGGAATGGGATGATCTTCAAGACCTTTTCATATATTTGTACATAGTTTCTTTGTATAGGTTCACTTTTTGCCTTTGTATTTGTGAGGCACTTTACTTACTTTTAACTAGTGTTTGTATATTGATTTTAAGGTAGGTTACTTGGAGAGTTTAACTCCATTTAACCTCCCTAGTTGATACATTCATTTTGTATTTTTTCAGTAGGGAAAAAGGGGTGACATTTAGCAATGCTTGAGGGTGGGCTTAGAAATTGGGCCTGAGTTGGGCCTAGGCAAAATTTTGCATATTGGACTCATTTTGCTCCTAATTTTTCATAGATTTGATTTAGCTAGGTTTCATCATCATATGATGAACCTAACTAAACCAAATCAAGGATTTTTTTAAAATAAATCAAGGAGCCATTTGAGACCAAGGCCGCCTAGCTCCAAGTATTCTTCTTGGCCGAATTTCTCAAGCTTCACCTCTTGGCTTTTGAAGCTTGCCTTGCAAGTTTCTAAACCAAGGGAGGTTAAGCCTACCTTACCATGGTTCTTAAGTGAACCATGGTCAAGGTTAGCTTCTCCTAGAAGCTAGCTAAACCGTGGGAGTTAAGCCTACCTTACCATGGTTCTTAAGTGAACCATGGTCAAGGTTAGCTTCTCCTAGAAGCTACCTCTATCCTATATATTTGTAATTACCTCATTTGTAGACACTTTTGACAAATTTGAGAAATAGAATTTCTCTCTTCAAGAGTCTCCAAAAACCGTAGAGAATTTCTCTTCTAGGTTTCCTATCCAAGGTTTTCAACCTTCTCTTTGGTTCCTCAAGCTTCTACACAAAGCTAGGAGTAACCGAATCACCTTGAAGACTTCTCCTCCATGGAAGGTTTCTTCGTGGAGCTTCAAAGTCTCTAAGAACACCTCAAGAACATTCGGTCCAAGCATGGAGAGCTTGAAGAATCAACATTCTTCTCCAAGTATCTCCATCACCAGGGGTGGATGTCTTTGGTGCAGAGCAGGGGGCTTCTGCCTCCGTCTCGGTTGAGACCCGCGGAAAGGGGCCGAGTGTTGAGGTCTCGACGTCTGCTCTGATGCTAAAGCTGAGGCGTCAGTATCTGGCTCACCGCTACGTGCAGGAGGGCTCGCAGGTGCGGCTGGAGCATCTGAGTGCCTCGGAGGAGATCGACTCTTTGCGGAGCGCCGTTGTGACTCCAGAGAAGTTTTTCCCCAGGGGGTCGTTGAGCACGGCTGATCAGGCCATGATCGAGTCAGCTGGGCCAGTGGGGAGTTTGGATGCTGCTCAGGTCTTCCTGCAGAGGAGTACGGCCATCGTGGACCATTGGAAGCATAAGTGGTCCAAACAGCAGGGGGACCTGGTGAAGCTGAAGGTCCGAATTCAGCCCCTGAAGGATGAGAACAAGGTCCTAAAAGAGAAGAACAGGGTTCTGAATGCTGCCCTTGGCGAGGCAAAAGTGCAGGGGGCCGAGCTTCAAGCGACAAGGGGAGACCTCGCTAGGGTTCAGAAATTGTTGGAGATCGCCCTGCACTCCAACGAAAGTTATGTTTCCCAGGTAAGTGAGCTGTAGGGGCTCGTTGCCTCGTCTCGAGGCCGGGTGCGATCTTTGGAAGATGAGGTGACGTCTTCCCGGGGCCAAGTTCGCTCTTTGGAGGATGAAGTGACATTTTTGAAGAGCGAGCTAGTGGTGGCGGCTGAGGAGCATCTCCGCGATGAGGTCGTTCTTGGTGGCAGGGAAGAGGAAATTTCTGCCCTAAGAGTAGACCTTTCAAAGCTGGAGGCAGAGAAGGCGGCGCTGGAGAAGAAGCTTGAGGAGACTGAGCGTTCTATTGTGGTGAAGCATAAGAGGGGTTTCCTCAAAGCCACTCGTCAGGCCAGGATCCTCGCGCCAGGGTTCGACTACTCCGTCATGCATGTGGAGAAGGTCGTCCGCTTCGGGAAGCTTGTGAAGGAAGATGACGTCGAGGACAGTTCCAGCGAGAATGCCTCTACATAGGTCAATTTTGTAATAGCCTAGTTTGAGCTTCCCTACTTTATTTTTCTGTGTTGAATT